CCCCCCCCCCCGCACTAGAAATAATTAATTAAATCAACGTTGATTGACGTCAATAGTACTGATCCGTCAACGCCGATTCGGTCAATCATTTCTGACTAGGTAATATAAATAAATCAAATTATTCATTTAAAATATTTATATACGTGTGTATGTTTGTGTTATAAATATTAAGATAATTTCTGTATTTTTCTTTTTAATTAGAAACTAATTCAAATAGTAGCTACACAAAATTTATATCAATAATATTTATAAAATTAATGTAATACGAAGGGCTACGAGTCAAAACAATTCAAATTTAATGTAATAAACTAACAGATAATACAAGAACAATTGAGAATATAAATAGACGTTTCAACCTCCTTTCTCTCTCTTTGGGTCATTATCAATGTTAAAAATGACACTATGTATAATAATATTTATATACAAACTCTTTTTCTTAAAAACCAATATATTTTTGAAATATGATAATTGGAAGTAATATTTGTACAGATATTTGAAAAAAGAATTCGCATGGCGTTTTTGAAAGTATTATTAAATGTTGGCTTAATATTCACCGCTGCAACAGCTCTTTCTGTTGACGAAGATTCAGGGTATGATTTGAGCACAGTCAATTATCGTTTACCAGACAATGTAGTGCCAGTACACTACAACATTGGACTTATACCGTATATTGAAAAGGATAATTTTACCTTTGATGGTAAATCGCATATCATCATCGAGATTCGTCGTGCATCTCAAGACATAAGTTTACACGCACTGGATTTAATTATAAATGAAACAGCAACATCATTGATCAGCAGCGATACCGATATCTATGTACCGACGACGCATAATTATGACAATAAAACAGAAATCTTAATTCTTCATTTCAATGATGAATTATCCCCTGGAATTTATAGTCTATATATACAATTCATCGGTATTCTAAATGACGAATTGCATGGCTTCTTCAGAACATCGTATACCAATGAGAAAGGAGAAAAAGTGTAAGTACAGAAATGTCCAATATTAAAATTTTAAAAATGTTCTTAATTATTATGTATTATATTCTAAGATCTTCTTAATTATTATGTATTATTCTCGTTTATGATTCATTAAAATTATCCACTCATTTACTTATTCTTGCAATCATTATTATAATATATGTGAAAGTTTTTAGAATATCTTTATATAATTAAACATCCTCTTTAAATGTATAATTATATATTATTACATTTTACATTTTTTTTTTTAATTTATAATGAAATATTTTTATACATTTTTAAAACAAAATTTTATCAGAAATATTTTCCTAAACATGTATAATAAAAAAATAAATTTCGATTGTAATCGAAAAATTGATTTTTTTTTTTAATTCCTACACATTGCATAAAATTATTATTATTATTATTCCAATAAAATTATATTATTAAATTTTTAAACAAACATATGTGCTTGTCCTCATTCAAAGGCATCGGAGTGATACATATGTCACAACCAGATTGCAAAAAAATGAATATTATTATTCAAATATGATTCTTAAACCGCATTTGTACGTTTTCCAAACATTTCGCTCGTTTTAGCACTAGATAATGTATCCGTTATTGAAAACGTGTCATATTGAAATGTGATAGGTGGTTGGCCGCATCGCATTTCGAGGCAAATTGGGCGCGACGAGCTTTCCCGTGTTGGGACGAACCGGCATTAAAGGCCACTTTTAATATCTCCATAAAACATCGACGAAATTACACAGCTGTGTCAAATATGCCAATACGGGATCAATCGGATGACAAAGATGATATGATATGGACACACTTCGATACAACTCCCATCATGTCTACTTATCTCGTAGCGTTTGTAGTGTCCGATTATGTACATATTCCTAACGCAGATGGAACGCTCAATATATGGTGCAGATCAGCATTGGCTCCGCACTCAAAACTTGTACAGGAGATTGCTCAAAAGGCTACAGACATATTAACAGAATATACCAATATTACCGACAAAGTTCCAAAAATGGATCATTTAGCAGTTCCGCAACTGACAGCTGGTGCCATGGAAAATTGGGGACTTATTATTTATAAGTAATACAATATAATTTAAGCGAAATATACAGCGTAATACAATATAATTTAAGCGAAATTAACAAAACAATTCTTATTATATTTTGCATATTCTCCTTGCATCATAAATAGAAAATTTTTTGTGATTTTACATATTATATAATTTGCATGTTATCAGATTATTGATGTATATTTATATTTAATGCTATATAATTGTCAAAACTCTGTGAAAAAAAATAGCCAGGATTTTTCTCCAACTGCAAGTCAATTTTTATTTTCTTTATGTTTAAATTATATCTTTTCGAAATAATTTTAAACATTTTTGGCAATTTTTAACTATGAATTTAAAACGGCATTAAGAGCGATGTGAAGAAGATATAAAGATGATGAAGTGTAAAAATATAATAGAGTCATATTCTAAATTAAGAAAAATTAAGGACAAAGATCCATAATTATAAATTGTAAATTGTCAAGACCATAAAAACTCTTATATCTAATTTAAACAATTATATGTAAACATTATATGAACAAAAAGAGATAATATATACATAACTGACAATGAGTTATAAAATCATTTTTAGCGAAAAAGACTTTGCGTACAATGAAAAAAAAGATACAATGTTTCATAAACAACGAGTAGCAGTGACAGTAGCACATGAAATAGCACATCAATGGTTTGGTAATCTGGTTAGCCCGTCATGGTGGTCTCACGTGTGGCTAAACGAGGGATTTGCAACATTTTTCGAAGAGTATGTTCTCAATGAGGTAAATACTGTTTAAATACTGTTTGTTATTAAATTGAATTTATTCACATTTGTGTATTTCAAAAAGTCGTATGACAGATAAATTAAATAACAGATAAATTGAAATAATAGATCTCTCTATATCTATATATGACTATTAAATATAAAAATACAAATAATCGGTTATGGTTTTTTTTTTTATGAAAATATCATTAATAATTACATATTTTAGATAATTACTAATTAAATTAAAATAGACTTTAAATTATTTACTTTTATCAGTAATAATAATATTACATTAATTTTATATTTAGTTAATCTTAATTTTGAAATTTTCTAGATTTTTATATGTTTCCAGATTTTCAAAGATTGGCGTATAATGGACTTCTTCGTTGTTAAGGTTCAACAAGAAGCTCTTGATACTGATGTTGCTAAGAAAATGAAACCTATTGTATTCGAAGTCAAAACTCGTGAAGAAATTGATTCACACTTTTCTTATTCCAGTTACGGCAAAGGTGAGAAGTAAATGTAAATAAATCTCCTAGTTCCCTAACATATAAATAATACGAAGTAACAGGAAAGAGTAATGATAAAAATAGGAATTATTATTTACTTATATATTAAATTTTTCACAAGAACGTGAAAAAATATACGTTCTGTTTTAAATTTCACAAATCGATTTTTGCCTAACATATCTGCAAATTTATAAATATCCTTATGTTATATTAATCGTGTTTTGACGTTAATTATCACAGCACCTGCTATACTGCGCATGTTACAGCATATTATTACTGCTAAAGTATTTCAGAAAGGTATCATCAAGTATTTACACAAACAGTAAGTAACATATATAATTCTTGATACTTATAGATATACGAATTATTATAATATAGCATATAAAACATTAAATATATAAGGATGCTAAGGCCGGTTGTCATTCAAAAGGCAGGTTAATTTTTAAAAAGCTTATATAATTCAATCTATATATATTAATATGTATATATACATATATATATATATATATAAGTACAATAATAGTATTAAAAATTTTTTTATTTTTTATATGATCTATAAAATGAATTAAACAAATAAAAGATTGATTTTTTACATTGTTTTTCATGTTTATTTTACATTGTGTAGCCAGTTCAGTTCGGTTACTTCCGACGACTTATGGAATGCCTTTCAAGCAGCTCTCGATGAATCAGATGTTCCACATAATGCCTATACATTGAAAGAGGTAATGGATACCTGGGTAAAACAAAGGCATTACCCTATGGTACACGTGACCCGAAACTATGACACTGGTGAAACAATACTAGTCCAAGAACATTTCTGTTCAAAAAGCAAAAATGAACATACCGATGGCGATAAGTGGTGGATACCTTTGACTTTTGCTACGCGGTCGAATCCCGATTTCTCCAAAACTCTGCCTACTCAGTGGCTAGGACCACAAGATAAAAATATAAGTGTTAACGGAATCGATCCAAATGATTGGATCATAGTTAATGTACAACAAACGGGTGAATATGCCTCAAGTATACATTTACCAATAATTTTATTCTAATGAAGAAGTATTAGTTTCCGTAGTATAATTTTTCTTCAAAATTTCAGTAATAATTTATTTTATAGTTTATAATAGGAATTTACTTGTATATGCGCCTTGAATATAAAAAAAAATTCTAACACATTTCTTAATAAATCTCGAAAATATTTAATAATATGATTTTTAATATGAATTAATTTCTCAACAGGGTTTTATCGCGTTAATTATGATGATTCGAATTGGCGAAAAATTGCAAACTACCTCAACTCTGACAATTATACAAAAATACATGTACTTAATCGAGCTCAAATCATTGATGACTCCTATCATCTTATGATCGCAGATCAACTTGATATCGAGATATTTCTGGATCTTGCAAATTATCTGTCTCGAGAGACCGATTTTATAGTATTATACCATATGTTTAACTTTTTTGACATGTATGCGGAAAAATTTTACAAAATTTTACACATTGATTATATCAAGGTAACATTATTACATTTAATAATAAAAAATATTTATACTCAATATTTAATTAAGCAGAGTAGAAAGACCATTAAATGAATTATTTTTATAATCCTACATAGCAATACATACTACGTATTTTGGACGAGCTTATTAAAAATGTAGGATACGAAGAAGATCCTACTGAAAATGAACTTATGAAGCTTACAAGAGTCAATACCTTAAAATGGGCATGTTATTTCGATCACTCCGAGTGCAAGAGAATAGCCACTATTAAATTAAATGAAGTTCTTGCAAATCCTGAAACATATAGGTAATTTTATTGAGATAAAGTTCTCAATGTGCGACGCAGAGTAATAATAAATTCTTATTTGCTACACAAAGAGTTATAGACTAATCTTTTTATTTTAAAAAATAGAATATCCGCAAACTTAAAAGAATGGATTTATTGTAATGGTATGATGCAAGCCAACAAAACTACTTGGAATAAATTAATGGATACATATTTCATTAACCAAGACAAAAATATATTAGATTACTTGATTTGCTCTGAAGATCCTGATATTCTGATTAATTTTATAAATACAAGCGTCTCGAATGAAATAATAAACAATCATTTACAAAATAATCATTACTATGATATTATTCAAGTCATTATTCAGGAACATTCAGACAACGACGCGGTACTCAACTATATATTAATAAATTTAGAAAAAATCAGCCCTAGGTAATAACATTTTTTACTAATTATAAACTTACTAATATTAATACTAATTATAAATTATGTTTTTACTTACTAATTATAAATCTTTCATAAATTCTTTTATAGAGAAATCTCAAAACGAAAAGTGCTAATGGCTATTATTTTTAGCGTACATTCTAATGAACGACTTGACAAGGTAATTTTATTATCTTAAATGCATGTTATATCTTTACTTAATTATAATTATATTTATTTTTATTTACTTTTTTCGTATCAATAATTAAACTATACAAACTTAGACAAAATTTTTTAAGAATTTATAATAATAAAATTTGTAATAATTTTTATAATTTAGATAAGTGATTTTGTGAAAAGTAATTTCAACGAGGAAGCATCCAAAAAGATTCAAAATATAATAGACGACCGAAAATCTAGCATGACGAAAGAGTATAACAAATTTTTATCATTTGTAATACAAAATAAGACTGTAAAAGAATCATAACCAGGGATCTTTTAAAATAGATATCTATCTGTATTTCTAATATTTATAGTTGAGAATTTATGAAAAAGCTCCTTCTTTTTTAATTTACAATAAGTTATGTATTTTGTATCTTCACTATTTTTCTCATATGTATATTTTAATATAAAAAAATTTTATATTAATATTTTTGTTTTGTACTTAAATATATTTTATTACAACATTATATATTTACATTTTAAATAAAATGTACGTAAAAACATATTGTATTGAATATTATAGTATTCCTCTCTAAAATTAAATTTCTATATTATTATTTTTCCTATATATAAATATACTTAATAATATGCAAAATTGTATTAATATTTACTTACTTTAACATGTTTAATTAATTTAGATCAATTTATTTACAATTACTTTCTATCAATGTTTACAATTATTTAATGAATATTATTTTTTTGTTTCCTTATGCTACTTATATTGTTTTAGTAAATATAATCTTCTAAAATTTTTACATTTAAATATTGCCCAATAGTGTTTACTATTATATCTGCAAATATAAAACCGCATATTCAAAAGTCGTGCCATATCACCTATACGTAGCAAAATTACTTGCCTTGCTTTGCTTTTTCGAAACGATCATTCTTTATTAACATCAAACGTTTCCGAAAATCGTAGCAAAGAGGTCTATAAATGAGAAGTAATAGTGGCTAGTATAATCACTATAATCGTCATGGGATCTTGTAACATCTAACAATGTAGGTACGTAAAAAGAATATTTTATTACTGTTAAACTAATCAATATTTACATACTGTTTTTGTATATAAGAATTCTTATTTTCTTTTTCAAAAATTATTGATTTAAATTTTAAATTATTCGATGAATTTTAATTGAATACGTTCTATAATCATAGCACTATTACAACTTTTATATTCTGTATTTTTACTTAGAAATTACTTTTTATAATTAAATAAACAATAATTTAATATATTTTTGTAATTATTTATAAAAATCTTAACACAACGATCATTTAAAATCAACATTTATGATGCCCACAATAAGTTATATGAATATAACATTACATATAATTATATATAACTATATATGGGACTTTTTTCCCCGGGATCACCATTCGTTTGTGTTGAAGTTATGTAAAACTAAACTCAGCCTTGAACATGATACTCACTGCTATTGTTTAATATGCTTAATCCGCTTAATTAACACTACGGTCACGTTAGTTGTTTTGACGCAGAGACGCATTTCCACAATTGTTATACTTTGCGGTATTACATTCACACTTCTCTGATGAACGCGAAGCTACGTTTCTATAAATACAAGGTACGCACGTGTTTAAGTTCTATTAAAATATTAAACATCAAATTAAAATAGGATAATCTGTCTATATATATATACATATAATTATATTTTTAAAAATAATATTTTTTATAAGAACAAATAAAAAGTTCTAATTTTATCAAATTATAGTTTATTATTTTTAGGTATAAATTGCTTAAATTTAAGTTACGTACTAAATTGATACAATCCGAAAATGTAAAAATATTGATACCAGAATATAATTAGCATTTATTCAAGTGACAAGACAGTAAATTCATAATAATAACGACGTATAAGAGACTTTTTTTCATTTTATGTTTGTTGTGGATTTTTAATAGAAAGAAATCTATCGATAATATTTAAAAGAAATTTAAACTAATTCTTTCATTTTTTCAGAATGCTGACATGCAAAATTATCTACATTGTCTTTGCATTCGTCGCAATAGACGCCGCTGCCATTCAAGACTCAAATCTGAATGATAAGGAAATAAATTATCGGCTACCTAATCACACAAAACCTCTATTCTATGATCTTAAGTTGAATCCGCATCTTACGTCAGACAACTTTACATTTGATGGCGAAGTACTCGTCTATATAGAAATTTTGAACCAGACGAGAACTATCACGCTGCATACAAAGAAGCTGATAATAGATGAAAACGTATCTTTTCTGAAAACCAACACTGGATTTGATTTTTACGTTCCAACTACATATAACAGTAACAATATAACAGAACTTTTAACTCTTGGTTTTGACAAGGAACTATCTATTGGACATTATATTTTATATCTGAAATTTGCTGGTATATTGAATGATAGATCATATGGATTCTACCGAAGTTCTTATGTTAATGACACAAAACATATAGTGTAAGTATGAAATCATTCATTATCGGTTTCTGAATTATATATAAAAAATAAAGTAATAAACAAAATCTTCGTAATTTATATAAGTAAATATTTTATAAGTATATAAATTTTGATAGGAACACTATACAATAAAAATAAATCATTGTCTTTAAAAATATAATATAATAACAGCCGAAATTTTAATAGATGGTTTGCCGGGACAAATTTCATGGCAACTTACGCACGTGCTGCTTTTCCCTGTTGGGACGAGCCGGCATTGAAGGCCTCTTTTAAGATTGCCATCAAACATCATCGTAATTACACGGCTATTTCGAACATGCCGATTTCCGAAGAATCGGAAATCGACGAGAGTGACGGAAAGATATGGACACATTTTGAAGAATCGCCCGTCATATCAACGTATCTAGTCAGTTTCCTAATCTTCGATCTTCGTAATATAAGCAATTCCGATGGAACCATCAACGTCTGGAGCAGAGGCAGTGTAATTTCCTCAGCAAGTTTCGCCCACGAAGTCGCCCAGAAGGCGGCGATCGAATTGGAACGATACACCAACAGTTCCGTTCGGTTGGCCAAAATCGATCATGTTGCGCTTCCTGACAGATATGTTATTGGATACAATAAGGACATGGAAAGTTGGGGGCTTATCACTTACAGGTAATGTCATGATACGTGCGTAGAAATGCAATAACACGTTCACAGAAAAATAAGGTATGGCAATACATCAAATATCGGTGATGTGATATCTCATAAATGCTTATATGAATTAAAAATCTATTTATATATGAAATCGTATTACACTAATTTTCTACAGTTAAAAATTCTTACACCATAATGCTATAGAGAAATAGAATATTTCATAACGTATAGACATGTATTATTTTGCAATGTCGCAAATTTTGTCTGTATATAAAGTATTACATCTGCAAAAATATTCTTTGTCCTCGCTTTGATGATGTTATATATTTTTACAAATTTTTACAAATATTTAAAAATTAGTCTTTTAACGATATAGATGATATAAAGTAACGTGTTAAATTATTTTACAATATTTGTGAAATAAACTTTTACATATGTTTGATAATATACATTACAATTATATTATCTATAGGGAAGCTACAATACTGTACAATGAAGAGGGAAGTTCAACCGATGAATTGTATAGAATTGCAAATAATATCATTCATCAATCAAGTCATCAATGGTTTGGTAATGTTGTTAGTCCTTCCTGGTGGACTTACATATGGATGAATGAAGGACTTGCGGAATATTTCAAATACTACACTGCTGATAAGGTAAAAATTTGATAATAAAGTTCACAAATACATTTTATTTTATTTCATGATCAAGCATTGTGTTTTGAAAATATATCACTATGCATTTCTCCATCTAACAGTTTTTGTAAAATATATTTACGATTTTCTTCTAAGAAAAAAAATATCAGAATTAGAAGTATACCATAATTTTTAAATATAATATACATAAATGTACATAAATATTAAGCAGATTTTTTTTTATATTTAGATTTATAAAGATTGGCGAGTTATGGATTTTTTAGTTATGGAAACGCTAAATTCAATCCTATTTTTGGACAGTTTAGAATACACGCAACCTCTTAATTTGGAGCCTAATACTATTGAAGAAATTAAATTAAAATTTTCTCCATTAAAAAATCAAAAAGGTGAAATATTAAATAATAACTGCAGATTGCTTAAAATTAACTTAAAATTATCTTATAAAAAAGTCGCAAATCCTTCCTTAAAAAATACGATTGTCATTTCAGCTTCTCTGCTTTTACGAATGCTTTCACATTGTCTCTCTGATGATGTATTCCACACAGGACTCATCAGATATCTTAATAAACAGTTAGTAAAATATCATAATTTTATACAAAAATAGATTTATAAAATATATTTTTAATTAGGCTATTAAATTACTATTATTTAAATAATAATAGAAGTCATTAATACACAATATATAGCTAACAATTGTTTAACATATTACAACAAATAAAAATTTATATTACTTTATTATGTATAATTATACGTTGTGTTTTTATATATATATATATATATATAATTATGTTCAAAACACGCTTCTATTCTCGGTATCGACGCGGTCAGAATATGTATACATTCTCAACCTTTCTTTCTTTTCTCGCGAAGTGAAGGTTACCTCTCGGTACCTGTGTATATCTATCGCTTAACGACCAAGTTAGCGAAATATATCATATATAATGCAAAATATGTTGTACATTAGAATGTTATGTATGCATGAGTATTATGGCTTCTTAGGTAGTATCTCATAAAATTATTATAAAGTTATAATAATGCTACAATAGGTAATCTATAAACTCAATGTTCATCTAAAAAATTATTAGCAAGTACGGCGCAGCTAAGCCTGAAGATTTATGGGCTGCTTTGCAAGATGCATTTGATGAATCAGCGATATCTCAAAACAAATTCAAAATTCAAGAAGTAATGGATACCTGGATAGAACAGAAAGGATATCCTCTTATTACAGTAATCAGAGATCAACATACTGGAAAGATAAAGATTACACAGGAATATTTTCAACCGTATGAAAAAATAGGTGTACGTAAGAACCTCATTAGAACAGATATTACGAATATAAAGTGGTGGGTACCAATAAATTTTGCAACTCGCACCAATCCAAATTTTTCATCAACCTTAGCAACGTACTGGTTGTCGCCAAAAGCTGAAGAACTCGTAATCGATGGTGTCGACCCACAAGATTGGATTATCGTAAATGTTCAACAAACTGGTAAGACTTATACGTTTTTTATAAAGATTATTTAGATATTAATTAAAAAATTCAATATTTGATAATATATAAATTTGAATTATACCTAAAATTTTAGGTTTTTACCGTGTGAATTATGACACAATAAATTGGTTGAAAATTGCTGATTATCTGAATTCTGAGAATTACACAAAAATACATGTACTGAATCGCGCACGGATAATTAACGATGCAATTCACCTTATGTTCACGGATAAATTAGATCCTAGAATTTTTATGGACCTTACAAAATACTTACGACGTGAAACGGATTATGTAGTATGGTTCTCATTGTTTAAAATTTTGAGAGATGCAACTAAGTATTTTGCTTATAATGGAGGAGGTGAATTGCTTAAGGTAAATTATAATATTACATATCATAAAATGCAAGAATAATTAAAAAATCTGTGCAAGAATTATTAAGAAATGTTTCACACAGATAATATATAGAACTTAATAAACCCAATCATTACTGATTTTAAAATCCATTGATATGTGTACCGTTTTAATAGTGTACATATTCCTATTTTATTATAGTAATTGGTTAAAATGCTCTATATTTCATTTATATAAATGTATTATAAAATTGATGTATTATAAAATTTATATAATTATAGTCATACATTTTGGACTTGATGAACAATATAGTAGAAACTGTAGGTACACAGGATCGTCCAAATGACGATTACTTCACGAAATTCACGAGAAATGCAATTCTTGAGGATGCGTGCGTTTTTGATCATCCTGCATGCTTAAATAAAGTCTATACTCAATTAATTGATTATTTAAAAAACTCAACGATACTTTCAAATAGGTAAATACGAAATATTATATATTTAAGGAAAGAAAAACAAATAATATGTAATATATGTATTAAAATAATTTGTTATACAAATTATTTTTATCTTGTCGAATATTTATTTGCTAAAAGTAAATAATATTGAGAGTAATTCTTTTCTATATATTATATAACATTTCTAAAAACTGCTTTAGAACTTCATTTCATACGAAAAGATGGATATTTTGTAATGGTATAAAACAAGCGAATGAAACTATTTGGAACAAATTGCTGTATATGTACACGAACATGTCTGAACAAACATTATACTGTCTGGGACACTCTAGAAACCCGACCATTATCGAGAAATTTTTAAATATGACTGTATCTGAAGATGCACCAATCACAAAGAATGATATTCATCGTATCATTTATTCCGTATTAAATGGAGGTTTTCCAAATGTCGATGTAGTCATGGATTTTATAATGAATCACTGGGATAAACTTACAACTATGTAATAATCTTATTATATTATCTAATATTTCAAAAATTGCATATATTCTTTTAATCACAGAATTGTATAACACATTAAATTTTTTATTACAGCGTTGACCCAATGGATTTAGTATATGATATTAGTTGGAATGTTGTATCCAGGAAACAAATCCAAAAGGTACAGATTTTGCATAAAAGTCATAAAAAAATATGTAAAATTATATGTATATATGTATAAATATTTTTATTGTATATATATTTAATAAAAATTTATAGTTAAAAATAATATAGTATATATTTTTTTTTAATATTTTTTTATATATTTAAGTATTTTTTTATATATTTTATAATAAATATATATTTTTTGTGGATAGTATAGAAACATATATATAAAATAATGTTTTCTATGCTAAAATAGTATAATTACAATACTTCTTTTCAGATGAAAGCACTTTTAGATAAGCTTGGAATGGAAGTACCACAAATTATGAAACTTCAAGAGCAAAATATAGATTTGATAGAAACAATAGTAAATAAAATTCGTGTATGGTTAGTACATAAAGGTTCAAATTCATCTACAAATGTTATATTACAATAAATTCGATTATTTTATCGATAACATCATCAAAAAAAAAGAATTTCATAAAGATTATTATAATTGTTAATAATAATATCTTGTAAATAAAATTTTTATGTACGATAATGTAATAAAAAATAATACTAAATAATAGTGTTCTATCTAGCATAATTAACAATGATTTTATCAGACTATTAGTAACATTTCAATAATTAGATATAAGTAGCCGGTAAAAAAAAAATATTCGAATGCTATTAAAATTATAAGTGTTACATACACATTTGGACTTAATTATATACTCTACCGCAATGTATCGTATCGGCTACTGGGTTGATTTAAAAAATTGAATGATGAAAATAGAAGAAAAAATACATCATCGTGTGACTTTTCAAATTACGTGATTCTAAAAAATCACGTACTGATTTGGATCCGTTATTGATTTACTTGTCTTAATTATATGATTCCGTTATATGACTTTGTGACGTGATTTTTTTCAGTAGAATAATTAGATCTTATCTGATTAAAATATCAAGAAATAAAATTAATATTTAAACATTAAACTTTTATCTTATTTTGAATATATATTTTCTAATAAACATTTATTACGTTTTACAAGAAAAAGAAATTGTAAAGTCACGAACAAAGTAATCAAGTTTATATTTTTGTATTATATTCGCTATTTATCCTTATCAGAAGAGGTATCGCTTTATCATAATATACGTTATACAGTAGGAGACATTGTATTGCTTCAAATGCAATTTTCTACATTTATATTTATAATAGAGGACAGAGATTATCGCGGTAAATACACTGTTGTCTCACTCGTAATGTTATATATGTTATATGTATAAGTACATAGATAACAGATAAAAGAAGAAAAAATCAGTTATGACAAGTTATAGGGCTTTCCAGCCAAATAGTTATTTGGTGACGCCATATTATTGTAGATCAATTCCTTAATTAAGTCAAAACTATATTATAACATTCTAAACACAAAACAATTTTAAATAAAACAATTTCATATTGTTATGAGCGGAATTATAAAATCTTTGATTATCACTTAAATGTGCATGCGTACATGTTTTAAAAAATACAAGCATCATCATACTTATATTTATAATATAATTATGTATGATATAAATGTATTTATAATACATGTGTCATAATTCTAAAAATTTATTATAATTTCTTATAATAGTTACTTACAATATCATTATTAGGCATGTATCTTTCAAATTAAAAACATATTTTAAAAACAAAAAAGTTTGTTTTAAATACATTTAGAAGAATCCGATTTTAGCATTATATAGATGTACTATATTTTACTATCAAATATTATGTATTGCGTTGACATTTATTTTGTTGCAAATGTATTCTATTCTATAAAAAGATATATTATTTGTCAGGCTTTTGTATTGTCTCAAAGATAATGGTCAGTAAGTGCAGATTTTAATTACAAATATAATGTAAAACTTGATTTGTATGTTTATTTAATATAATTTTTTAAACTATGATTTTTCACAAGACAGTTGAGAAATTTTAATACAATCGTATAATTTAATTAATATAATTAAATGATTTCGCGACTTTGATTTAGCATAATCTATTAATTACTTCAAGACTTCGCTTTTTCATGAAATATTATAAATCTTATAAGGCATCAAGAATAATTTTAAAGATGTTACAAATATATGAAAATTATTTGATAAAGTTGTATCTCTACATGGAAACTGCATTAATTTATAGATCATCGATATAAATTGATTTGAAAATAGCTTGCTGCAAACAATTGTATAGTGATACAATTAGTAACAATAAATCTTGCAAGTTCTAATCTATAATATCTTGTTGTCACTCTCTCGCGTATTTTTTCTAGATATTTAATTATTGGTTTGTTCTAGCGCACGTAACGTTTTGTGCAAGCAAAGATACATCTGATAACATAGTTTTATATGAAAAAATTACGGCATCGTCATTGACAAATCTGATAACATATCAATATATTATAGATAATCTATCGGTAACAAAAACCAAAACGTATTTAATAAGGTCTCATTTGATCGAGAACTATTCGTGAGAATTGTTTATGTGCTGTGAAAATCGGATACATCTGCGGATACATCTATTGTCTGCGATAGACGTGTGACTACAAATCTTTCTACCATAATTATTTTGTTTAAAGGTGATTGAAATATTAGGAAAAGTGGTGAAATAGTTATTTGGTGACGCCATATTATTGTGGATATAATAAACTTTTGCTTATTTATATAGACAAAATTACGAACATTTATAACATTGTGAAATAAAATATAAACCATGAAAAAATAACAATATTAACCATAAATGAGATGACACTTTTAGTAAAGGTAAATATAATTAACTTTTAAATAGTTAAAATTTTTCTATTTTCGAAAGACTATTGTGTTAATGGCATAAGTTTGCTGTAAGAAATTTTGGAAGCATTAAATCTCACGCGCGCGGGTAGCTTTCTCCATTTTATTTAATACGTACATGTATAGATCTGCTCAAAAAGTATTTTAATATTTTATCAGGTTATTTTTTTTTAATCAATAATTGAGGCAAATTTTATACTTAAATAAAATACAAGGTAAATATTTATACGACATACTTGATTAAGTTACTAACTAAATAAAAAAATTTATGTGTTCACGCATATAATGTGTCCACGAATATCTTTATACAGTTCGAAACTCACCAAAGATTATGCAATCCTTTCAGATGAGGATTTCGCGGGAATATTTGTTCCTTTGCACTCTAATCACATTATTCTGCGGAAACGTAGCAAACAATTCCCCTCTTCACGATGGTAATTTTACCTATTTTATATTTAATACACACATATTTTGTATTGATTAATTTTTCAAAAAATATTTATAAAAAAGTTGAAACGTATACCTATATAACACTAATACATAAAATTATGTGTTTTTGCATTTTATATGAATAAACATGCATTCTCTTCGATATTTGTCTATCAATATTTGTCCGTGTTCAAAAATAAATTTGAATTTTACAAGATTATATATATAAAATGTTAGTGTTATAAAATTAAATGCTCACATAAACTCATAATAAATTCACGTAAACTAATAATAAAAAATATTATCAATCTATATAATAGCACATCTTTAAGTTGAGGCGCGCGATTACTAATTCTAGCTAATTTTGTGTGACAATTTTGCAATGTATCATTTTTTGAATTGTTTCGTATATGCAGCTTTAAGATAACTTATGTAATTTTCCAGGTACACTTATGCGAAATCTGGATATCTCACAAGATGAATCCATCGACTATAGATTACCAACAAACGTTAAACCCCTTTCGTACGATATTATATTGATTCCAGATTTTAATAACTTTACATTTACGGGAACAACAAAAATTGATGCTGTAGTACAAAATTCAACTAACACTATTACGCTACATGTGGGAAACATCAAAATTGATAAAATGTCTTTTCTGACATTCGAGGAATCTTCTATCTCATCTAATTTTCCGACTTCGTATGACGATATTACTGAAAAGTTCACTATTACCCTTCCCCGTCTACTTCTAGTAAATACGACTATGACAATTAATTTTGCGTACAGTGGAATCTTATCCGACAACATGATCGGATTTTATAAGAGTTCTTATTTCGACGAAAATGGAGAGCTTAGGTAAGTGATATGTCAATGTATGATCTGTTTCATATCAATAAAAGAAATAATAAAAAGAATATACGCTATAAATATATCCCAATAAATGTCATGATGCTTTCTAATAAGAATCTCTACTTAAAACTAGATGGCTAGCTGCAACACAATTTGAAGCGACATACGCGAGACATGCCTTCCCATGCTTCGACGAGCCGAGTTTTAAGGCAAACTTCACGATAAGAATAGCAAGAGACGACAATTATAAGACTATCTCTAATATGCCATTGGAAAGTTCTGAAATATTGTAAGTATCAAAAAAGTTTAATTGTCGATATGTTTTCTTTCCTGAATGAATTTTTTTGCCTTAATACATATGTGATATATTTGCTTTTAAGAGTACCTGGTGGCAAAACCTGGGATGTCTTCAAACAAAGCAGCTTAATGTCTACGTACTTAGTGGCCTTTGTGATTGCGGAATTCGATCCAATTGAAAAAGTTACAGATTCATTTAAATTTAGTGTATGGTCCAAACCATCCACCATCGATCAGACTACTTATGCATTAAAAATCGGTACTGAAGCCCTCGATTTATTTAGTAAAAAGTTTAATCAAAATTATACATTTCCTAAAATGGACATGGTGGCCATTCCTGACTTTGATGCCGGAGCTATGGAAAATTGGGGATTGGTGACATATCGCGAGAGCCGAATGCTGTACGATGAGAAAGAATCATCGGCGTTAGCTCAACAGGATGTGGCTTCCGTGGTCGCTCACGAACTCACGCATATGTGGTTCGGAAATTTAGTAACACCACAATGGTGGAGCTACCTTTGGCTTAGCGAAGCGTTTGCCTCATACTTTGAATACTTCGGTACTGCACTGGTAAGATTCAAGATTTTTATTGTTATACATATAACTATCGAATAGTTAAAATATAATTTTGAAAAAAAAATCGAGAATTATACAAATGTTATAAATCTAATTAATTTTTTTACAAAATTTAATTTTGCTCAATCCATGTAATCATACATTATATTAACGTTCTTAAAAATAAATTATTGATTTATCTTGACATTCATAATAATATCAAAAAACGTAAAAAAAATTTATTTTTACAAAATTTTCAACATTTTTTACATTATTTTACAAAAATTCAATTAATCAATTTTACTTTTGTATTCTAACACCTTTATTTGTTATAGCTCGAGAATACATGGAACATGACGGAACAATTCGTGATAGACCAACATCAACCTGCATTAATAGCAGATGGTCTTGAATCTTCTCTTCCGATGACTCGGGACGTTTTCAGTACATCGCAAATCGAAGGAACGGGAGATACTATTACCTATTTCAAAGGAGCCAGTATTCTACGTATGATGAGCCACATATTTGGAAATGAAATTTTCGAAGAAGCATTGCGCAGCTATATAAAAAACAAGTAAATACAGTAAACTATTATTGCATTTTAGAAAAATTAATTAATTTACTAAAAGATATTCGATTTTAAAATATTTATTGAAGGAACTACATAACTTATAAAATCAGAGATAACTTGTAAGAATATACTATTTTAATTAAATATACAAATCTTTTTTTTAATTTATTGCCTTTATTATTAAATTAACATATATTATAACGTAACATATATTATTTGATTTATTACTACTCGATTACATATGTATGGATTAAAATCATTTTAAATCACTGATATCTCATAAAATCTCTTAATGTCTCCTTCCCTTAATGCATTTGAGAGATTATACTGTTACAAACATAATACATCTTTTAGCAAAGAGAAAGGATTGGGCCATCCAGACACTTTATGGGAAGCAGTAAATTCAAATCTCCATATTAATGTAAAAACAATAATGGATTCTTGGACTACAAAAGCCGGATACCCTGTTGTAACAATCGCTATTAATGACGACGGTATCATGAATATTACTCAAGAACGCTTTCTTCTGAGAAATTTGAATGAAACTTCTACGGATACTACTTGGTATGTCCCAATCACGTTTACTACACAAACAGACCCAAATTTCAATAACACGATTCCAAAATATTTCGTATCTACCAAAAGAACCACCGCTTACTACGAAATTAATCCAAACGACTGGATTATATTCAACGTACAATCATCAGGTTAGTATAGAATAGTGTTTTTAACTGCACACACACAAAAATAACGTACAGAGCTATATGTGAACAGTAATATCTAATACACGTTATTTTATTAGACAGTTATACTATTATTGTATGTTAATTATTAAATTGTTACTAATTGATAGAATGTATTATATTATATTTAAAAAAATACTTCAACAAAATAATTTTGTATATATGTTAAAAATATTAAACAAAAACTTTTAGAATTTAAATTACACAATTGAGTCATCTGTGTCCTATGCATTTCTTTTGTTTGAAATATTAGGAGCAACAAGTAATTACAATATTTACATGCAAGTTATAACATTTATATACAATTTTTTAATATACATACATATTGAAATCTTTCTTAAAGGTGTTATGGTATATGTAAAAATCACTTAATTTTTGTATATTTATAAAAGTAATGTAAATTAATCCGGGACACGAACGACGCATCGTGTGTTGTAAAGGATCGGAAAATCATCGCGTGTATTAAGGATTAATGTCATAAGTTCTAAGAAAACTTACATGTACATTTTATATAAAAATTACTAAAACATTAATTTTGATATTTTTATTACAGGTTTTTATCGTGTAAATTATGACAGCCGTGAGTGGCAAAAAATTTTCAATGTATTGAAAGACGGCAATCTGAATGATATTCATGTATTAAATAGAGCCGGCATTGTAGACGATCTATTAAATCTGGGTAGAGCAAAATATCTAAATTATGATACGGTTTTCGAAGGATTGAGTTATCTTAAAAGGGAAACTAATTATCTGCCTTTTAAAGCAGCATTTAATGGTTTCGAATACCTAAATAGGCAATTTACAGGACACAAACTTCAACCCTTTTTCAAGGTTTATTTTTGTTAATTACAGAACACTAATTTGCACATAATTAAACAAACAAATTTATCTTAATTATAACAGAAATCCTCAACTATTTATATTGTCTGTCATACAAATTTTTTTAAGTAATTTGCAATTAATATTTTCTCTTTTTATAAAATTATTTAAATGCATATTCAAGCAATTAGAATTCTAAGATATTTGTATAAATTCAAGTGTAAAATATAAGAAATCTGTTATACATATTATATATATTTTATAACAATATTTATTTTATATTTCTTTTCTCTAGACCTATATTTTGTCTCTTATCGATGACATAAACGCTCAACTAGGATATGAGGATAAGGAATATGATGATAGATTAACAGTTTTGTTACGACAAGAGGTGAATAATTGGCTCTGTAAGCTTGACAATGACAAATGTATAAACAATTATGCAGACAAATACAAAAAATGGAAAGAAAATGCTACTGCTCGGTAAGGAACATTCTGTCATTTTTATTGAGACCTCCATAATGTACACATATGACATAAAATAAAATATAATAAAATTTAATATTCAAGTAGCCTCTAAGTATCTTTATAAGATATGTGTGTGTGTATTATATATACATATTAAATTGTTTAATATTTAATAGTATCAAACCGAACGAAAGGCCCACAGCGTACTACGTAGCCATAAGACACGGAACTTTTGAAGACTGGGATTTTTTGTGGAATGAGTATGTTCATTCCAATTATGCGACCGACAAAATGGTGATCTTAAAGGCTTTGGGATACAGTCAGAATACCACCATCTTGGAAAAGTAAGGTTTGAAATATACGCTGAAACATGGTTGAACTACCGCTACCGTTTAATGTATAGAAGTACTATTGTTCAAGATAGCAAAATAAAGATATATTGTGACGCTTATTATAGATAATAAGTTATCTACAAACAGCTTAAACGTTTTCTAATTAATTGATATAATTAAAAATGTTTACATTAATAATATACAAGTAATTTCAATTTTTTAACAATTCTTAGTAGCGTTAATTTGGCCTATATAGTCGTAGCTATAATTCTGATAGAAGAAAATAACACTACGATAAAGTTTAAGCAAATATTGTATGTAAATATTCTATATATTTTCTTACAAAATTTACTTCTATTATTTTCGTGTAGATATCTGAACTCTGCCATTAGCAATTATAATACCGGCCAAATTCGCAAACAGGACAGTACAAGCGTCTTTGCAGCCGTTTATAACTCTGGCCACCTTGGTGCAGAATATGTTCTTGACTTTGTTGAAAAATATCACCAACAGATGGAAGAATAGTAAGTTATTTTTATAATGCAGTAATTTTATACAATATTAATTCATAAAGAAAAACAGAATACAAGTACTTAATATTTTAATCACATAAATAAACGCAAGGTATAATATTTTAATAATGTACCTGCATATTAAAATGCATTACACATAACATACTCTATAAAATATATTTTTTCAAGTTATTTTGGGCTTTACAAAATGTTATTTAAACGATATCAACGGATGTATAAAAAAATCATTTCTACGTTTATAAACATGCAACATTCCTTTTAGCTACGGAGGACAGAGTACAATAGCCGCAATTCTCAATGGAGCATCGCAGCATTTCTCTACCGAAAATTTAGTGAACAAATTTGAAAAATTCATAAACGCTAGCAAAACAAGCTTTACGTCGATTCAAAAATCTCTGGAGTACTCCTTAAAAGTCGCTAAATATGAATTAGACTGGTATAACTCCTATTCGGCATCTTTAACTCCATGGTTGCAAGAATACAACTTAACATTTCGCCTACCCAACAATATAAGTCCTAAACATTACTTCATTTCCCTTACGCCTCGTCTTAGTGGGAATTTTACTTTCGATGGAAAAGTGACGATCAAAGCCGACATTATGCAACCAACAAATCAGATTATTTTACACTCGTCGGAAATTGAAATACTTCCTTCCGAAGTAATCGTGAAAGCCAATGGAACAGAAGTACCAAAATTAAACGAAAAATTCTTAAATCAATATGAATTCTACATTATATATCTCACAGAATATCTAACTACTGGAACGAAATTGGACATCAAAATCAAATACACAGGTCATTTGAATGCTGAGCTTCGTGGCTTTTACAAAAGTTCTTACGCGAATGAAACAGGAACTAGGTAATGTTAAACATTATTATTATATTATTTATTCAATTTGTGTCAAGCAAGTTATCATTGAATATTTTCTTGAATTTCCTTTCTATTTCAAGAAATTCGTGTTTTTATAAAAAATGCTAAGAAAAATTTCTAAAAACTAATATATTTACTATCATTTATTATAATTTATTTCATGTTAATGATAATTTTACAATAACGCCTTGACAATAATTTAATTTTAAATTTTAAGTTATCATGTTCACCAAATAGATTTAAAAAATTAGAGGAGACAATTGATATAAGAAGTGTAAAGAAATATTTTTTTATATCTTTTTTTTTTATTTATACGATAACTCTGGTATTTACGCCGCGCGGAGATTTACATCACAGAAGTCAGAAAAAATAGAAGGAGTAGGGGTAATTTGCACACAACCACTCTGTTACATGCTTTTACATTATATTAGTATTTTGTTACGATTTTAATTCTTTACTGTTAATATTAATGAAATTACTGTTAGTTGAATCAATGTAGTAAGTAGCGCAATCATATATCATAACCCACATAAAATGATTATTATAGATATTGCAATAATGATTATTTGGTGATATATAAGTATAGAGAGATAGTAAAGAATGGAGTATAGCAAAATACAAGTGCTTAACTCTTATATTCTTTATTCATCTTAATGTCATGTATACGGAATGTACGGCATTTTTAACGTACAGAATTTACTCAAAGCATATAAAGTGCGTGGATTGAATTCCATGCATTAAATGCAATAATGCATTACAATATTGCATGTACTTCATATCGTAACACTTGTAATATATGCAAAATATATTATAATAATTAATATCTATTATTTTATATACATATTTATCATTCTTGTTCCTTGATAAAACTTTGTAAATATATTTTATAAGTTATTATGTCATTTTATGTCTTATTTCTAAGCATTATTTATAAGTTTTTCATGAGCCATACATCTTACCTATGAGTAGTCATATATCCCACCTCTATAGACGGTACAAAGTTTTTATCGGTATAGTTCATTTAGTGTAAATATAGTAAATAATACAGATTAAGTTTTTGTTAGATGCGGCGTATATATCGGAGTTACAGTGACAAAAATTTTTACATTAAAAATTAAATGTTAAATGTTTGATGTACTAGATGGCTTGCAGCCTCGCACATGGAACCCGTTAGCGCCAGAAAAATGTTCCCTTGTTTTGATGAACCAGCAATGAAAGCGAAATTCACTATTCAAGTTACCGTAGAAAATGGTTACACACCTATCAGCAATACGGCGCAACACGTGCAAAGGATAATGTATGCATAATGTATTTCTTAAAAAGAATTTAATTGGAACAACTTTCTTACAACTTTGCATTATCAATTGTAAACACATACACACGCACACAACACACACATTTTTCCTTTGATACTATGTTATTATTATTTTTTTTTATCTCTAATAGAAAAGAGAATGAAATCTGATTAATAAATGTTAATATCAATAAAATGTTGATATATTAATATCTCTTTTGATACAAAAGTGTACTTTAAATATGCTGTGTGTGTTTTGAATATCAATTTATTAAAAAATATTACAGTGTTAACAATAGAGAACATTATAAATACATTTGTCATTTTAAGAACAAAATTACATGACTGTTACAAATCTCATTGAAACACAAAAATTAAAATGAATTCTTAAAAAATTGTTACAGCGATGGTGGTGCATCATATACCTTCTTCGAATCAGTACCGATGTCGACATATTTAGTGGCAGTTCTCGTTTCCGATTTCAAGTTTAAATCTAACCAAACTAATGAAATTGAATTAGCTGTATACGCACGTCCCAACGCTATTAATCAAACCGACTACGCTCTATCTGTAATGTCTCAATTGATGTACTTCTACGAAACAATATACAAATTGCCAAAATATCCATTTCCAAAACTCTCTATGGCTGCGCTGCCCGATTTCGGAGCAGGCGCAATGGAGAATTGGGGCCTTTTAACATACAGGGAAACGAGTATGTTATATGACGAGAATCACTCGCCGATTACAAACAAACAAGATATCAGAAACGTGATTGCTCATGAAATCTCCCATCAATGGTTCGGAAATTTGGTCAGTCCTCTGTGGTGGAAGTATGTGTGGTTGAATGAGGGATTTGCTAGATACTTCGAATATCACGCTCCCGCTCGTGTACGTAATTAATGCACTCCGCCAATGTAATGCCAACTTATGATTACACTTGAAATTTAAATCTTTAATACGTATAGAATTTTTCTAAGAATTAAAGAAAATGTTCATAATTTTTTTTTTAGACTGCAAATACGTCAATTACAATCTTCTCTACATATACATATTTTTCTACATTTTAGTATAATAATGAAATAAATATCAAAATAAAAATATTGCGCATTCCTCAAGTAATAAATGTTTCTTTAAATAATAAATTTAATTATTATTTGCATTCCAGGCGTTTAATGATACGACGTTGGAATCGCAATTTGTGGTTGACCAAGTACATTCTGCTTTCAAAGCAGACAGTTCTTCCTCTACACATCCCATGAGTCACGATGTATCAACTAATCGTGAAATTCAAAGTATATTTGACACAATCACTTATAATAAAGGTGGTAGCATATTGAGAATGGTCGAAAAAACATATGGAACCGACGTGTTCAACAATGCATTAATTGACTATCTTAACAAACGGTATATAACGATAATATCTTTCTTATTATAAATATTCTTTTTAATAAATTGAACGTTTTCCATTTTTAATTAATAATTGTCAAACGTTAACTGAATTAATGATTGTACATTAACTATCATATTTCAGTCATAGCTAAATAAATGTTTGTTTAGAAATTGTAAAATGTAATTAATATTTTTATATCTCTAATTATTTGCATAAATATATTACCAGCTAAATTTAAATATTATTACGGTATAAAAGAAATTTTTAATTAACTGAATAAATTTTGAATATATATGTATATATATAGTCAAATTTTAGCAGGAAAACAAATTTAATACTTAAGATATAACAATTTAAAATTTTATTTTTTAAACGGATATTTTTGTCAGAAAGAATAAATCACTTTTTAATTAATTTTTTAGAAAATATGACTTTTCCATACCGGACCACTTGTATGAATCACTTCAACTAAAAGTAGGTAAGAAAGGTTTAAAAGATGATGTCAAAGTTATCTTAGACACGTGGACAACTCAACCTGGCTATCCCATCGTTGATGTCTTTATTTCAACAAAGTCAATATCTTTGAAACAAAAACGGTTCTTCCCTAAAAAACATGAGAATACTATTGATGATACTACATGGCACATCCCAATTACATGGGCAGTAGTTCAGAATACTTCAGAGTATTTTAATACCACGCCGAAATTTTGGTTGACAACAAAACGGACAATAATAAAAAAACCTAGAGACTTATCACCAGAATCACTTTTAATATTCAACAATCAGCAATCAGGTAATTATGCAAATCAAATTAGAAACTAAGACAAACCAGAAAAAATAGCAAATATAAAAATTTTTATATTTAATAATTTTTAATGTACGTATCTACATTATTCGATGATATTCGCTATTTTAAGATTTTTGCATTTACAAATATTTACATTTGTTTTTAGGTTATTATCGTGTAAATTATAACAAACAACATTGGATGAAGCTGATTGATTATCTTAAAAACCAGGACATTCAAACAATTCACGAAATCAATCGCGCAGCATTAATTGATGATCTTATGAACCTTGCAAAAGCAGACTATATTGATTATGAAACTGTTATATCTGCTACAATGTATTTGAAAAGAGAAAATAATTATTTCCCCTGGCGAGCGTTCTTCAATAATCTGCCTTACTTAAACAATCGTTTTGTAGGACGCGATAATGAAGACATATATAAAGTATGTCACAATTATATCAATTAAATTTTAAGTTGCATATCTATTTTAAGCTTTTGAATTGTTATTCAGTTTTTTTTATGTTTATTTTTACAAGAATTTTTGTAAGCAATTCCGTAGAGAAAGATTAATATGTATAATTTTTTTTCAGAAATGGTTAACATCGTTAATAGAACAACTTTACGCACGAATTGGCTTTGAAGATTACATTAGCGATGACGATCTTACTAAGATATTAAGAATACACACTCGCAAATGGGCTTGTAAATTAGATATAGCTGATTGTAAATTCTCAGCTGCAAAATATTTCGAACAGAAACAACGTTCAGAAACGTGAGTCCAAAAACAAATTAAAATATATTCCTTTTTTTCTTTGGTATAAAGCTGTTCTATAGTACATAATTCTGATGTGTAATTACAATTAAAAAGTATATAAAAAAATAAAGATATAAATAAAAATGAGATATATATATATA